CAGGTGGATCTCTGAGATTGCGGCCAGCCACGTGAAGTCTGTTATCGGTCACGTTTCCATTGCTATGATAAGATACCATGGCCAAAAGTGATCTTGGAAGGAAGAGTTTGTTTTGGGCTATGGTTCCAGGGAACCATATGGAACATGGCAGGGACGCATGGCAACAGGCAGCAGGTACTGTGACTGGAGCAAGAATCAAAGAGCTGATTCTTAGCCGGGCGGTGGTGGCGCACGCCTTTAATCCCAGCACTCGGGAGGCAGAGGCAGGCAGCTCTCTGTGAGTTCGGGACCAGCCTGGTCTACAGAGCTAGTTCCAGAACAGGCTCCAAAGCCACAGAGAAACCCTGTCTCAAAAAACCAAAAAAAAAAAAAAAAAGGGGCTGATTCTTCAAATGCATGCATGGAGCAGAGGGAGAGAGCTGTGTCCATCATGAAGCCTCTAACTGTCAACGCTCACTTTCAGTGACATACTTCCTGTAGCTCGACCTCACATCCTAAAGGTTCCCAAATGAGGACCAGGTGTTCACATCTCTTGACCCTATGAGGGAGGGGACATCCTCATTCAAACTACTTTAGGAAGACATGAGTTGTTCCTGCAGGCAATTTTTTGCTGCATCATTGGTTTCTCAAGTTTCCTGACTACGCAGAAAAGACAAACAGGACCCCCAGAGAGAGACCCTCCTCTTCCCATTTTCTCCCTTTCTTCCCTGGATTTTTTATCTTTTTTTTTCTTTTTCTTTCTGGTTTTTCGAGACAGGGTTTCTGTGTAGCCCTGACTGTGCTGGAATTCACTCTGTAGACCAGACTGTCCTTGAACTCACAGAGGCCTGCCTCTGCCTCCCGAGTGCTGGGATTAAAGACGTGCGCCACCACTGGCAATTTTTCGTCTTTCTTTCCTGCCTCAGTCTCACCTGGGTTCATATCAGGTTGTGGCAGGGAATGAAATTCGGTGGAACTCCTAACCTATGCAGGAGGCCCTGTGTCCCTTCCTAGTACCAAGCCAGCTGGGCACAGTGGTGTACACCTGTAATCTTGGACACAAGTGAATCAGATGTTCGAGGCCAACCTCCACTACATAGCAAGTTCTAGGTCAGTCTGAGTTACTAGAGACCCTGTCTAGCAAAAAGAAGAAGAAAAGAGATCCACATCTGCTCTTGACAGGCTAAATGGCTTGACAGCATCTCCCTCCCTCCTAGCTACGAATTATATTACTCCCCCTCCCCCAGCATGGCAACTGTAAAGACCTAGTAAGATCAAAAGTGTAAAGATAACGCTGTTGGGAGTTCAAGTCCTGGAACTCACATGATGAAAGACAGGTAATTCCTAAAAGATGCCCTCTGACTTCCACACATGTGCCATGCGCATGCCCCCCCCCATCACAATAAAATGTAAAAAGTAAGCATCTACCCTTTTATTCTCTGCTTGCTCTCCTATCCTTTAGATCTCAGCTCTCTGGTAGTACTTCTTCCTCTGGGAAGCCCTCCAGGCTCTCTAGTCTTCTCAGTTCCCCATCTATGCCTACTGAGTAGCAATATTCCCGTGACTGAATGTGTCTACCTGCACTATGCAGGCCAGGCTTGAGATTACTGTGGTCACTGATGTGTCCCCAGCACTGACTTCAGGATCACTGCCGAATCAAGAAACCAAGCTCTCATCACCACATGGCAAGAAAAGACTGAAGTATATGGAGTGGCTGGGCTGGGTGGCGGTGCAACATTGAGCAGGCAGAGGCAGGCAGATGAAGGCTGAAATGTTGGCTCGGTAGTTAAGAGCACTGAGTGCAAGGCTGGAGAGATGGCTCAGTGAAAGAGCACTGACTGCTCTTCCAGAGGTCCTGAGTTCAATTCCCAGCACCCACATGGCAGTTCACAGCCATGTCTCTTGGGATCCAATGCCCTCTTCTGGCATAAAGGTGTTATGTGCACATAAAGCACTCATACATAAAATAAATAAACCTTAGAAAGAGCACTGGATGCTAGAGAACTGAGGTCCTAGGTTCAATTCTCAGTGCCTACATGGAAGTTCATAACGATCTGTAGCTACGGCTCTAGGGGACCCAATGTTCTCCTATGACCTCCTTGGATGCCAGTCATTCACATATAGGCAGGCTAAACACTCAAACACAAAAATAAAATTTTGTAACATTCAAATGAAGGTGAGGGTATAGTTAATAGAGTGCTTGGTAGAGCTCATGACACCCTGGGTTCAATACCCAGCACTAGAAAACCAGGGCTTTTGTTTTTTTAATTTTTGTTTGTTTGTTTGTTTGTTTTTCGAGACAGGGTTTCACTGTTTAGTTCTGGCTGTCCTAGAACTCGCTTTGTAGACCAGGCTGGCCTCAAACTCACAGAGATCCACCTACCTCTGCCTCCTGAGTGCTGGGATTAAAGGTGTGCGCCAGCCACCGCCACCCGGCGCTTTTTGAACACCTTTAATCCCAGGTAGATGCAGGTGAGTTTGAAGCCAGTCTGGTCTACACATCAATTTCCAGGACAGCCAGGGCTGGGCAGAGAAACCTGCCTTGAAAAAACAAACAAGCAAGCAAACAACCAGGCTTTTATTGTTGAGACAAGTTCTCACTATGTTGTGGAGGCTGGCCAGGAATTGTCATAAACTGAGATTACAGGTCTCGCTTGGCCTGCAGTCAGAGCCGATTTGATTCATACCGTTAAGTGGATCACAGAATCGACTCATTCTGCTCACCATTAGGGGGCACCCAACTCCACCAGGAACTGTGTTTACAGATTCTAAAGAAGGGGGACTGACCCACCCCATTTTCTAAGTCTTCAGGAGACAAAACTCAAGATCCACAGTCCTAAGTCTGAGAAAGGAGAAATCTAGGGTTCAATCACTCAGTTCTTAGAGAGGCAGAATCTGGGCGCCTGGACAGTGGGGTCCTAAACTGAAGTAGTTGGGAATCTGAGAAAGAAAGGAATTCGCAGGTGGCACCGGGATTGGCTGAGAGCAGAACTGGCCTGGGCAGTGGTTCCCTTTGGCTTGAGTCTGTGGGAAACACTGCACAGAGAGGGAATTGTTCCCCCTGCATCTCCCCCTCCCAAACGCCCCCAGAGCTTGGCAGCCTCAGTTCTTCCCAGGCCCTGGGGACTTGGGAGCTTTCCACCGCCCCTCCTTCCCGCTCCCTGTTTTTTACTGGACTCACAGCTGCCCTGCCTCAGGACCTGGAAAATTGCCCCGGAGTATTGAAAGACTGGCCCGTAGGTTATTGCCGAACAAATTAAGAGAATTCAGGACATGGGTCCTCTACGGGACCAACAGCGCCACCTATGGGACACAAGAAAGGAACACAGACCTGTCCTCAGTCCACTCAAGAGGGTGAGGGGGAAGATCTGGGCTGCACGTAAGACCTTATCTTCGGTAAACAAAAGAACAAACAAAGGAAACTTATGACGAAGTTATAATCATCAAAATGCTTTCAACTGTTGACTTGTTTTGTTTTTGAGTCAGGGTTTCTCTGTGTAACAGCCCTGAATGTCTTCGAACTCGATCTGGACTCAAACTCATAAAAGATCTATCTGCCTGGGATTAAAGGTGTGTGCCACCATTGCCCGGTTGGCTTCTTTTTTCTTTCTTTTTTTTCTCACAGAGATCTGCCTTCTTCAACCCCCCAGGTGCTGGGATTATAGATGTGTGCCACCATGCCTACCTAATACGTTGGACACATGGAGAGACTGAGTTTGCAAACTTGTGTAAGAATAAAGGTTCTTTTACATACAAGAATCTGTCTCCTGGTTGGTTATGGGGGTACTACGTGATCTGAGCAATTCGTTTGTTTTTTGAGACAAGGTTTCGTTTCTCTATGTAGCCCTGGTTGTCCTGGAACTAACTCTGTAGACGAGGCTGGCCTAAAACTCACAAAGGTCTGCCTGCCTCTGCCTCCCAGGGGTTGGAATTAGCAGGGGGGGTGGTAGTGCACGCCTTTAATTCCAGCACTCTGAAGGCAGAGGCAAGCGGATCTCTGTGAGTTCAAGGCCAGCCTGGCCTACAAGAACTAGATCCAGGACAGCTAGGACTGTTATTCAGAGAAACCCTGTCTTGAAAAGCAAAAAAATAAAATAAATAAAGGAGTGTGCCATTATGTGTGCATGTATAAGTGTATACATATACACGCGTGTACCTGTGGAGGTCAGAGGTCAGCTTTGTGGAGTGGTTCTCCCCTCTCGCTTGACGTGGGTTCTGCGGATAGACCACCTGTACTCTCAGAGCCGTCTAACCAGCCCGGTGTGTGTCTATTTGGTTTGGTTTGGTTTTGAAACAGGGTCTCATGCACCCCAGGCTAGTTTGAAACTCACTATATAGTGGAGAATAGCCTTGAATTTCTGATTTCCCTGCCTCCACCTCAAGACTTCGGGAGTGTTGTAAATATAGGCTCCAGCTGCTACATCTGGATATTTTGGGGGTATTAAAATTATTTGTTATGTGTGTGTGCACTATTTGTATGATTGTTTTGAGACAGATCTTACACTGCCACCTAAGCTGGCCTCAAAAATCTTGCTGTGTAAAAAAAGAAAAAAGAGGAAAAAGGGTTTTGTGGCGCACACCTTTGATCCCAGCACTGTTAGGCAGAGGCAGGAGGATCTCTGTGAGTTCAAGGCCAGCCTGGTCTACAGAACGAGTCTAGGACAGCCAGAGCTACGTGGAGAGGCCGTATCTCAAAACAAACCAAGTAAATAAATAAATAAATAAATAAATAAGTGTAATTTAAAAAGAAAACTAAAACTCACTATGTAGCCCAGGGTTTAGATTGCTATGATCCTCCTGCCTCAGGTATCAAGCTCAGGTTTACATCCACATGCCTGGCTTGTAGTTACCCCTTCATTCCAATGGACCAGGTCTGGGGTTAAAGGCACAGGCATGCAGGTGCTCACCAAATAAATGTTCAGAATGCAGGATGCTAACCATCTTGTCAGAAAACCACACCCATCAAATGTTGACTAGATTCCATAGGCTCTGGGAGTCTCAGAAAAAAAGGCCACACCAAAGTCAGTGAACTGGGTTTGTTTATTCTTTCACTGAAAGAATTCAGTCTGGAGATGGGAACAGGAAGATGAGGGCTGCTGGAACAGTGGAATGTAGACCCATCCTGGTCAGGTGATGAGGGCAAAGAGCCCGAGAGCTGGTTCTCCCTTCCCCCTCACATGGGGTTTACTCGCCCTTTAGGAGAGTAAGGATCTGATCCGTAAAAATGCTGGCGTAAGTGGTCATGGCCGCCGAGCTTTTGCTGTACATGTCCCTGGAGAGAAAGCACAGGGAGATTGGAGGAAGAGCCTAGAAACTGGAACCCTGGGTCTGAGGGAGACAAAGCAGGGTTTGGACCTCTGCATTTGAGAGAAAATGAGATGGGGCCTATATTCCTCTGTCTGAGAGAGGACGGCTGGGGTCTGGATCCCATGGTGTGAAGGAGGAGGCTGGGCATGGTCCCTGATCTACAAGAGTGAGTCAGGATCTGTCTCTACCACGCAGGACGCACCTGAGTTTCTCATCCACACTGGTCAGGTATGTTTTCTGGTATAGGTCTTGGGCAGCCGCCTTAGCCGTGTCCCAGTAACTGGAGATGGACTCCTGCACCTTGTCCAGCAGAGCTGGACTGCCTGGATCATCTTGCTGCAGCTGCTGGGCCGCTTGGACCTCTGGGAGAAACCCGAGGTGATGGTGAGATGGGAGGCACACAGGGGGCTTTGGTAAGCGGAAGCATTGTGAGGGAGAAGAGGGGTGGCAGAGGAATGTGGAAACCTGCTTGAAGATGACTCCACCCCTTCCTCACCGACCTCTCCCCTCTCCCCACCGCCTTGAAGCCCCACTCACCACATCCCAACACCAGGAGGATGAGGAAGAGAGCCAGGAGGAACCGAGAGCCCATGCCGTCTGTGACCTGGAGCACTGAGGACAGTGTCGTGTTAACAGAGCCACTGGACAGGATGTTGCTAGGGGTGGCCGGGGACCCTCCTCTGTCCCTACTCGTGCCCAACAAGGGCTTTAAACCTGTTCATTCAGATAAGGTGTCTTCTGGAGTTCCACTGTAGACGCTTCTTGGGGGAAGAGGGTGGGCAACACAACTTGTCATTATCTAGTCCTGGCTGACCTGGAGCTCTCTATGTAGACCAGGCTAGCCTCGATCAGATAGGCACCTGCCTTGGCCTCTTAAGTGCTGGGGTTGATGGTGTGTATCACCACATCTGGTTCTTTTTTTTTTTTAAGTGCATATGAAGCCAGGGATAGTGTGGCATATGACTTTAATCCAGCACTTGGGAGGCAGAGGCAGGTGGATCTCTGTGAGCTTGAGGCCAGCCGGGTCTACAAGAGCTAGTTCCAGGACAGGCTTCAAAGCTACAGAGAAACCTTGTCTTGGAAAAAAAGAATCCTTTGAAAAAGAGGTAGAGATGAAACCTGGGAGAAGGGCCAAGCTAAACAGACAGACTACAAATCTAAACTCCACGGTTTTAGTCAGGCACACCAGAGCAGGCTAGGCTGAGGCAGGAGGATCAAAAATTCAAGGTTATCATGGGCTACATAGTGAAAGACCTTGTCCCAAATAAAATAAAATAAAACAAAACAAAATAAAAAATCCTTCCATTCCTTGATTCCAAGACAAACTTCTAACAAGGTGACGCCTGTAATTTCTGGTTTAGGGATCTCTGTCCCTCCCTGATGTTCCTGCCCCCTCCCCTTTGTCCCTCTCTTACCTGAATGTAACGGGCAGGTTGGGACTGTCCTCACTAACTCCAGTGGGTTGGCAGGTTTTATAGGTCTGGAGGGCCCCCTCCCTCCATATCAGGCAGATCCTCTGTCCTAGGCCAAAGTCCTAGCCAACAGAGCCGTGGAGGGGGTGGGGTGGCAAGGCTGGAAGGGCAGTGGCCAGTGACGTCCCCTGCCAGCTTAAACCCCAGGGAAGCCCCGTTTTGAAAGAGCTATCCATAAACTGGGCAGAGCTGAGATCTCAATCTCTCTCAGAAGACTGAGGCAGGAGGATCATGAATTCAGAGTGAGTACAGGAACCACTGGGCGGCTTAGCAAGACTTTATCTGAAGACCAAAAGGCTCAGCTTGCGTTTTATTCACCCAGGGTCTCAGGTACCTCAGGCGACCCCAGAACTCTCTGTGTAGCTGAGGCTGTCCTTGCTGTCCTTGAGCTTCTGGTCTTCCAGGTGCTGGGATTACAGGTTTGTAGCACCTTACCCAGTTTGAAATGAAAACACAAAGCCAACCAGGTAAACATGGTAAGTTCCAGAACAGTCAGGGCTACATGGTGAGATCCAGTCTAAAAATACATAGAAAGATAAGAAGAATTCTGGGACTGGGAGGAGAGAAGGGAGGGAGGGGAAGTTTCAGTGGGAATATAAAATAAATGAAAAGTTTAATTAATAAAAAACAATAACTCTGGGAAGTTGACCCATCATGTAAAGGAGCTTGTGCCAAGGATCTGAGTCAGTTCCCCAAAAGAAGGAAGAGAACAACTCCGAAAGTTGTCTTCTGACCTCTATAGTACACAAGGCACACACACCTAAGCAAGCACACACAGACACTCACACATAAATAAATGTAATTTTTAACTGACCATTGCCCTAACCTTAGCTACCTTGTCATCCCCTAAATGAATGTAATTTTTTGTTGTTTGTTTTTTCAAGACAGGGTTTCTATGTGTAGCCCTGACTATCTTAGACTCACTCTTATAGACCAGGCTGGCCTCGAAATCACAGAGATTCACCTACCTCTGCCTCCCAAGTGCTGGGATTAAAGGTGTGCCACCATGGCCCGACATAAATGTAATTTTTAAAAGAAGGCTCAGTGACAGGGAACTTACCTGTCATGTGTGAGGCGCTGGGTTCAATTGCTAGAACCTCCCCCACTGCCTCCCCCAAAAGAAAGAGACACAACCCCCCAATCCCTGAGAGAGAGGGTTGTATATTGCGGAGGGGTTTTGAATTTGGGGAACCCACTTGGAATAGGGCCTAAGGTCTGCATGGTTGAGGAAAGAAGGGACACTATAAAGATATGGTTCCTCTGAACCATGCCGGCCTTCAAAGCTTTGCCTCCTGGATCTGAGCAGGCGCCTGGAAGTCTCCAGTTCACTTCAAGCCAGAACCATGAGGGGAGGGGGGCTTATCACCTTGTCCCCTTCCCCTAAAGCTTGCCTAGTGTCCTCCCTGCCAGGTGACAGCCTTTCCACTTATTAACTCCTAGATATGACGAGCAGTGACCTCTGGTCTCAAGTGGAGCTACTCAGCTAATGACACAGTTTAAGAACAAACACCTTTATTGTGGGTGCCGGAGGTCATGGGGGGGGGGAGGTGTGTGGCACTTTAACCCTGAGTCCAGTCCCTGCAGAGCAGCTGGGGACACAGGCTGTGGGTCTTGTTCAGGAGCTGGTCTCTGGAGCTTTGCAGCCAGGCCTGAGTGCGAGGACCCAGGTCTTTCAAATGGTCTTCATAGTAGGTCTGCACAAACCCCTGGACAGCCCCAGGGCCCCTGTGTAAAGGGGACATCTTAGTTGACATCCTGGATGCCACAGGGGTTTGGCACATTTTGCTTCTGACCTTCTTCAGACTCAAGACTCCAGACTCTTAGTTTCCCTCAGACCCAGGGTTCCAGGCCCAGCCCTCCTCCCTCAGACCCTCAGACCCAGGGATCCTGCCCTCCTCCCTCAGACCCAGGGGTCCAGGTCCAGCCTCCTCCTCTCTCAGACCCAGGGTCTAGCCTCTGGCTCTCTTTCCTTTAACTCTGGTGTTCCTTCCCAGCCAAGGTGCGGAACTCTCTCACCAGAACCACTGCCATCTGTCCCTAGTCCTGGTCACCAGCGGCTCCACCAGATCCATCACCCTGGCCCTCACCAGGCTCCAGCGGCTGATCTCAGGGGTAGGCGTGGGGAGCAGGCTTTCTGTGGTCACGGATGCTGGGAAGATCAGAGGAGGGTGAGTGGGCCCGGATCCCAGAACCCCATTCCTCTCCCACTGGGTGTTGCTCCTGGGGGCAGGTGTAACTCACCTTTGTACCCAGACACCCATGTCATCCGTCACCATAGGCGACACCTCACTTCCTCAGTCCTACACTCAGTTTCCCATCCTGTAAAAGGGGCACAGTGACTTCCTACTTGAGGGCTACGGTGCCACCTAGGAGCAAGAGTACAGGAAGTGCCCTGTATCTTGTACACCTTGCCAGCCCTGTCCACCAGCCTGGCTGACTGGCCCCTGACGCCATCTTCCCTTCCCCTCTGCTGGTCCCTCCCTTGGCTCTGTCTCCTGAGATTTTCTTGCTCAGTCTGCACATTCACTTCACCTGGTGCCTCTTTCCTCCAACCGCCTGACCCTACTGCCCAAGGATGACCCCTGACCCGGAACATCCCCTGCCTTCCAGTTCTTCCCCGCCCCTCTTGCTCTAGCACCCACACACCTAGCTAGAGACTCATGCGAGGATATTAGCACACAAGTATAGACGCACATGCTTGTATTTTTGTTTTGTTTTAACCTCTTTTTTTCATTTGTTTTTGTGTTTTTTTTTGTTTTGTTTTGTTTTGTTTTGTTTTTTCGAGACAGGGTTTCTCTGTGGCTTTGGAGCCTGTCCTGGAACTAGCTCTGTAGACCAGGCTGGCCTCGAACTCACAGAGATCCGCCTGCCTCTGCCTCCCGAGTGCTGGGATTAAAGGCGTGCACCACCACCGCCCGGCTGTGTTTTCTTTTTGAGACAGGCTTTCTCTGTGTAGCCCTGGCTGTCCTGGAACTCGCTCTGTAGACCAAGCTGGCCTCAAACTCACAGAGATCCGCCTGCCTCTGCTTGAGTGCTGGGATTTAAGATGTGAGCCACCACGCCCAACCTGTTTTAACATTTTTTGAAGACTTATTTTTAATTGTGTGTATATGTTCCTGTCTGTATGAGTATGTACGCAAGTGCACTGCCTATGGAGGTCAAAGGCATCGGATCCCCTGGAGTTGGGGTTCCAGGCAGTTGTGAGCCTGGGAACCGAACTCCACCGAACCCCAGGCCTGTGCAAGAGCAGTACATGTCCTTAACCACCGTCCTTAACAACTAGGTCATCCCTTCTAACTGTAACCTATTATTTATCTATTTATTGTTTGTTTCGAGACTCGAGACAGGTCTCTTGCAGTCCTGGCTGGTCTCATGAGGCTGAGGATAACTGCTGATCCTCTTGACTCCGCCTCTAAAGCCATGGGTTGACAGGTGTGTGCTCCTGTCCTGGTTCGTGCAGGGCTAGGGCTGGACTCCAGGGCTTCCTGTGTGTTAGCTAGGCACTCTACCAACTAAGCCGAAGCCCCAGCTTGTCCTGAAGCCTCCTATGTAACTGATGCTAGCCTTGAGCTCCTAATCCTCCTGCCTCCACCTCCCAAGTGCTGGGTTCCAGGCACGTACCATCACACCCAGACCACACACGTGCTCTAGCACCAAGACACGTATGTCACCTGCTGTCCTAAGCCTCACCTATGACTTCACTACTCCAAGACACAGTCTCCCATTCTGTGAAAGGGGCACTAAGCTAAGCAAATGAAAAATACACAGGAAGGGACCTGGCACCACCAGCACTGTCTGTAGAAGAAGCATATATATTTATGTTTATATTTTTATTTTATGTGCATTGGTGTTTTGCCTGCATGTATGTTTGTGTGAGATCTTGAAGTTATAGACAGTTGTGAGCTCCCATGTGGGTGCTGGGAATTGAACTCATATCCTCTGGAAGAACAGCCAGTGCTCAACTGCTGAGCCATCTCTCCAGCCCCGCAGCATGACATACAGAGTCCTACTGTACAACTGTGGCTCACCAGGAACTCACTGTGTACACCAAGCTGGTCTCAAACTCGTGGAGGTCCACCTGGCTCTGCCTCCTGCGTGCTGGGATTAAAGGTGTGTAGCCCCACCGCCTGACTATTCTGAATTTTTAAAGACTGAGGACCCCAACCATCGATCCTCATGCCTGAGCCTTTGAGGAACTGGGATTACAGAACTGTGCCAACATACTCTGCTCATGAGAATTTTGAATACCTGAGCAAAATAAAAAGCTATGTGTGAACACACAGACAGAAACAGCCACACACTTAGAACTTTTCAAACATGTACCCTGGAGAGAATCACAAACGCACACACGTGTCCACCCAGGAAGCATTGCGTGCCTGTGATTTTAGAGCTTAGGAGGTAGAATCAGGAGGATCAGGAGTTCAAGGCCAGCCTCATCTACATAGCAAGTTCAAGGCCAGCCTGGGCTACCTGAGATCCTTTCTCAAAATAAAACAAAAAGCCCGACAACAACAAAAAATCACGAGACAGAATTAGGCAGCAACAGCAACAGCAAGCATACTGGTGCCCACCAGGGGACATGTGCATTTGTCACCACTGGAGCTGGCACCAAGCAGCCAAGGGTAAGGCTTTGCTGGCAGAGTTCTCACTAGGTCCTGAGTTTGATGTCCAGCGCCACACAACCCAGGTGTCGCAGGGCATGCCTGTAATCTGAGCACTTCAGGATGGAGGCAGGAGCATTAGAAATTCAAGATCATCCTTAGACCCTATGTTCTTTTTTTTTTTTTTGGTTTTTCGAGACAGGGTTTCTCTGTGGTTTTGGAGCCTGTCCTGGAACTAGCTCTTGTAGACCAGGCTGGTCTCGAACTCACAGAGATCCGCCTGCCTCTGCCTCCCGAGTGCTGGGATTAAAGGCGTGCGCCACCACCGCCCGGCAGACCCTATGTTCTATCTCCGTGTGTGGCTGTGTGTGTGTGTGTGTGTGTGTGTGTGTGTGTGTGTGTTATACTTGTCTTACATGGCTACTGACACATTTGATGAAACCAAATGGTACCCCACCCAGAGAATCCCACCTCCAGCACGTCCCCCACTCCTCACCTACAAGGCTGGCCATGAGCAGCACCGAGAGGCAAAGTGAGGACAGGGCCTGCAGCCTGCATCCCAGGAGGGACATTTCTGGGGACTTGATCTCTCTGTCCGGCTATCCCTCTGTGCTCCACTCTACACTGGAAAGAGACCTCCCTCTGTCACCTCTCCACTCCTCTTGGCAGAACTTCAAAGAGATGGGCCTGCTGACACTGGCAGTCAAAGGCCATGTCCGCCCTTGCCTGCCTCCCTCCTTCCTGCCCTCCCAGGGTGCTGTCCTGGCCTGACAGAAGACAGAAGCTCTGACACCGAAGCAGATTCAAATCCTGCCTCCACCAGACTTTTCCTGGACCCTGTTTCTCACTATGGGAATTGAGACTACAATCTATATATGAGAAATTGGTGCATGTGTGGAATTTGTTCTGTTTTATTTTGAGACAGGGTCTCATGTAGCCCAGGCTGCCCTGGAACTCTATCTTCAAGAATGATATAGAATCCTTATTCTCCTCCCTCCCATCTCCCAGATATTGGTGCAACAGGCAGGTGCCACCATGCCTGGCTCTCCTATGTACTTTTTAAATAATTTATTTAACTTTATTTATTTATTTATTTATTTATTTATTTATTTGAGACAGAGTTCCTCTGTGTAACAGCCCTGACTGTCCTGGAACTAACTTTGTAGACCAGGCTGTCCTTAAACTCACAGAGATCCACCTGCCGCTGCCTCCCGAGTGCTGGGATTAAAGGAGTGCACCACTACTGCCTGGCAACATTTTTAGTGTATTTTTAACTATGTGTTTATGTGTCTGCCTGTGTCGAGGTATGTACGCATAAGCGTGTGAGTGCAGGTGCCCACAGAGGTGTCAGATTTCCCTATAACTGGATGTGAGCTGCCTGATGTGGGTGCTGGGAACTGAATTCAGGTCCTCTGGAGATAGGTTTAACCACTAAGCCATCCCGGTGGCCCTTTAGTTGTTTTTAGTTATGTTTATTTGCAAGTGTGTGTTGTGTGTGTATATGTGCATATTGTGTGTCTGTGTGTTGTATGTGTGTACATGTTGTGTGGCTGTGGGTGTGTCCACACCACCAAATACATATGGAGGTCAGAGGACAGCTTCAGGTTTCAGGAGCTGGTTCTGTCCTCCCACCAGGTAGATCCCAGGGATCAAATTTGGGAGTTAGGCTTGGACGCAGGTACCTTTACCTGCCATCTTTCTCCTCTTCCTCCTCTTCTCCCTTCCTCACTCTCTGCATGAGGCAGGGTCTTGTTATGACCCTTTTGCCTCAGCTTCTTGAGTTCTATGATTTCAAGGGTAAACCACGTCAGCTAGTGAAAAAAAATTAATTTAACTATGTTCCATGCATGATTTAGGAATGTCACCAAGAGATATTTAAACATTACCTATTCATCTGAAGTTGAAATGTAATCGTGTACCCTGTGGCTTCCTGCTTGTTTTTTTACTGTTCATTGAGACAGGCTCTCAGGACAACCTTGACTTTCCTTACATTTCTATCCTCCTGCCTCTTCCTTTCCTGTGCTGGGATGACATGTGACACATGCCCAGCACACTCTGCTTCCACACAGCGAATCTCCAGATGAATTCTCTGCTGCAGCCATCACTGTACGGAGCAACCCTGCCCCAGATGCCTGCCTGCAGATGCTGACTGCTCGTCACATGTCGGCTTCTCGTGGACAGTTAAAAAAAAAAAAATCACGCAGAGCTGCTGTTTGCCATGATGCAAACATTTCAGGAACAGACTTCGGGGGTAGTTGCACAACAGTGTAAACGTACTCAACACTGCTGACCTAAACACCTGAAAGTGGCTGAAATGGTAAATTTTATGGTCTGTGGTTTGTGGTTTTATTTTTTCCACAGCAGATGAAAGAAAACGGAAGTGCAAACCAACCACAGATCCCCATGTCTGGCTATGAAAAGGACCTCTTGCTGGACATGGTTATGGTGATGCACGCCCGGCATCCAAGACTGGAGAAGCTGAGGCAGGAGGACTGTTGGGTTGATTTAGAGTGACATAGGAAGACCCTGCTGCCCACCAGAGCAGGAGGGGTGTGCTGTTTATAGCCAAACCCCAGCTCTTTTCAGCACTGAGACCTGGTGCAGGTTGCTTAACCTCTGTGGACTGATTGCTTCACAGTGACAAGTGATTGGTTAATTATCTGGCTTGTAGGCTGGCCTGAGACAGGCCAGAGCGTCAGGAGGTGGGTGACCACAGTGTAACTAAATCAGTTGCTATGTTATTTATTCATTTTTGAAAAAGAAAACAGATTTGATAGCCAGGCACAGTGGCACAGGCATTTAATCCCAGAACTCAGAAAGCAGAGACAGGAGGATAGTTGTAAGTCCCCATATCACACCTTGATTTGTTTGTTTTGTTTGTTGTTTTTCGAGACAGGGTTTCTCTGTGTAGCTCTGGATGTCCTTGAACTTGCTCTGTAGACCAAGCTGATCAGGAACTCACAGAGATCCTCCTGCCTCTGCCTTCCGAGTGCTGGGACTAAGGGTGTGTGCTATCACCACCCAGTAATTTTTATTTTAATTTTTTAAAAGACAGGGTCTCAGTATGTAGCTCTGGCTGTCCTGAAATTCACTTATGTGGACCAGGCTGGCTTTGTACTCAGAAATTCACCTGCCTCTACCTCCACAGTACTGGAATCAAAGGTGTGTACCACCAGCACCAGGCCAGACTTTGACTTTTTTGAATAAGGGTTCTCCCGATGTAGCCCTAGGTGCCTGGAACTGTGATCACCCTGTATCTGTCTTTCAAGTGCTTGGGTAATAGGCCTGCACCACCACAGGGATAGAATGTAGGGTCAAGCGTATGCTAAACAAGAACTCTACCGACGGAGCCTGAGTGTGATCATCTTTACTTGGCACATGCTTCCTTACACATACTGTGCTACAGGCCCAGAGTGAGTGATTTTGGTGCTTCCCAGAGGTTTAGAGATCCCCCCTCCCCCCAGAGTTAAGAATTGAACCCAGGGCTTTGTGCCTAGGCAGGGGATCTACCACTGAGCTACACCCCAGCCTCTCACTGGGGATTCTAGGCAGGGGCTCTACCACTGAGCTACACCGCAGCCTCTCACTGGGGATTCTAGGCAGGGGCTCTACCACTGAGCCACACCCCAGCCTCTCACTGGGGATTCTAGGCAGGGGCTCTTCCACCGAATCATGCTCCTATCCAGCATTCTTTTCTCACATATGTGGAAACTGAGACTGTAGTTGTTAGTGGGGACTGAATCTAGTTGTCCTTCACCATTTTACCATGCTGGGACAACACTTGACCCTCTCTCCACGCAAACCCTACAGCCCATGAGGGATTCTAAGGCAGTGAGGCTGGGGTTGGGGAAGGTCTCTGTCCTCTGCCCTTAATCCAAAGTCAGCACACAGGGTGGCTTTGGGCTGTTTGCTGTTTGGTGCCTGCAATGTTTGCTCATCCTGGGGACAGGAACAGACTGAAGGTCGTCCAGGATGGACATCAGGGGCAACTAACAAACAAGGAGAAAGAAAAGGAATCAGTGAAGGGAATGGGACAGTTGGTGGCATGACGGTGCAAATCTGAGGACTGAGAGCATCCCTGATACCCAAGCTGTCCTTCAAGTCGCCAAGCACGCCAGCAAACAGAAACTCTCCTCTTAGCTCTCTTTTTGGCTTTTGAGATAGAGTCACATTGTAGCCAGGCTGGTCTCAAGCTCATGCTGATCCTCTTGCAAAACCTCCCAGGTCCCTACTCTCCTGTCCCTTGGTCGCTGATCTCACCATGATCGATAATCCCTGCTTTTACCGTTGAATCCTCAACCCTCATTCTTTTTACTCTTCTTTTGGAGATTCTAACCTCTTCAGCTGCATGCTTGGGGCTGTGGCAGGAAAGTTTGGAGTAAAAGGGTTTTCAGGGGCCTAGGAAATGTGGCTCAGCTAGTAGCATGCTTGCCTAGCACACAAGTCCTGATTTTCATCTCTAGCATTGCAGAAAACTAGGCATGGTGGCACAAGCCTGCAATCCCAGGACTTGGGAGGCAGTGGAAGGTGAATCTCTGTGAGGTCCAGGACAGCCTGGTCTATGTAGGAAGTATATAGCAAGACCCAGTCTCAAAAAGAAGGAGGAAAGAGATGAGGAAAGAGGAAATCCCCCAGTGAGGTGGCTTAAGGTGTGGCTCAGTGGTAGAGCCCCTGTCTAGAATCCCCCAGTGAGGGGCTGGGGTGTGGCTCAGTGGTAGAGCCCCTGCCTAGAATCCCCCAGTGAGGGGCTGGGGTGTGGCTCAGTGGTAGAGCCCCTGCCTAGAGTCCCCCAGTGAGGGGCTGGGGTGTGGCTCAGTGGTAGAGCTCCTGCCTAGAATCCCCCAGTGAGGGGCTGGGGTGTGGCTCAGTGGTAGAGCCCCTGCCTAGAATCCCCCAGTGAGGGGCTGGAGTGTGGCTCAGTGGTAGAGCCCCTGCCTAGCATGTGTCAGGCTCTGGGTTTTGTGGGAATGCAATGTGTTAAAACAGGCCTAGCACAGACCTACAATACAACACTCTCAAGAGGCTCAGGAGGCTAAGGCAGGACACTGTTTAGTGAGGCCTGCCTGGTCTACAAAGCCTTCTTGAGTCATGTCTTGTAAATCCTTTTCAAAAAAACAAAGCAAACAAAAGCAAAACAAAAAGCCCAAAGCCAAAAACTGATGTGTTTAAATTAAGCAATCATTGCTTTGAACAATTATTATTCATCGTTGGCCCCGTGATCAGCTCTAGGTGGACAATGCCTAGGATGTATTGGCAACAACAGTCTTGGCCATGTTACTGGGGGCTCATGGTAACAGTTCCCAGCTAGTGTTGACAGAGATGCAATGCAGAACAGGCCTGGAGTGGGGGAGGGCTTCCTGGAGGAGGGGATACGAGTACTAAGACCTGGTAGCTGAGTACTGCATCTGTCTTTCTGGCTCTCTTCTGTGCCCTCCCCAGCCCCTGCTACTGTTTTCCATTTCTTTTCATTATCCACTTAGAATTCAATGAGCACCTACTCTGTGCAGAAGTAAAAGCGACCCAGCCTTACCTGGGTCATACCAAAGCAGAAGAGCGTAAGCCCATGATCATGCCAGGCTATGCATTCAGTCCAGGCTCCCTGCTTTCTGGCAGCATGACCTTACCTCTCTGAGTCTCCATGCTCATAGGACATGAATATGGTTCT